CCTGGAGAGGGTCCAGAGAAGGGCCACTCATATGGTTAAGGGTTTGCAGGCCAAGCCCTACAAGGAGAGACTAAGGTACCTGGACCTCTCCAGCCTCCGCAAGAGAAGGTTGAGAGGCAACCTTGTGGCTGCCTATAAATTCATCATGGGGGTGCAGAAGGGAGTTGGTGAGACTCTACTCACCAAGGAGCCCATGGGGGTTACAAGAAATAATGGCCATAAGCTAGCAGAGAGCAGATTTAGACTGGACATTACGAAGAACTACTTCACAGTTAGAGTGGCCAAAATCTGGAATGGGCTCCCAAGAGAGGTGGTGCTCTCCCCTACCCTGGGGGTCTTCAACAGGAGGTTAGATAGGCATCTGGCTGGGGTCATCTGAACCCAGCACACTTTCCTGCCTATGTAGGGGGTCAGACTCAATGATCTATTGAGGTCCCTTCTGACCCTCAAATCTATGAATCTAAGAAGACCCTTAGACCTGACCAAATACACTACTTTGCCTCAACAGATACCTGTAGACAGGTGAAACACCTGCTCTGATGCACTGCAATTGCAGTGAGATGGATCAACTCCATTAATTGAGTCTGCTGGAACATGCTAATTAGCATGCTAAAGTAACCTCAGTGTTTTGTGTATTCAGTTTCCACAGTTAACGCGTGCCTACCACCATTTTGAAGTGCAGGATGCTGAATACACAAGATGTTGCGAGCGCTTTAATTAGAGCGGCTCTTGAGAGCCGCTCTAATTAAAGTGTCCCCCTCCTCACCATCCCTGGAGCACATGTAAAGACACTCAATTAGCCTTTCCTGTTTTATCTGTCATTATTAAAACCAAACATGTGGATTACCTACCTGAATTAATCTGAAAGGAAAAACCTATACTTCTGGACACATAAGACCTTCTCTCGGCCTTTTGGCTCAGATCATGTGAAGCACAGCAAAATAAAAACTGATCTCAAAAAACTATTTCACTGGGCTACTTATACTTTCTCATGTGTAGCATACGCAAAACAGCCTGTTACTGTCCACCTAACCATTCTGTCTCGACAAACTGTAACCAACAATTTTACAAGCATTGCAAGTATTATTTTATGATTTTTTTTCATTTTAAAATAATAAAGCTTAATACTATATTTTCTTGCATACTGCACACCCCCAAATAAGACATGTACTTTGTTTTGGAAAAGCAGAGTAAGGAAAAAAAGAGTTTCCCAAAGTCACAGAGTAGGGGCAGACTTCTCTTCAGCTCACTTGCCTTACTCATGCCGCTCAGCCAAAAATTACTGCCCATTCAGCAGCAACTGTGTAAGGGTTAAAACTCTAGCTCTGACACTGAAGAAGGCACTATCCCCCTACTATATGCTGGCTGGGAAAGCACCATTCCAGAGTCTCCATGCTTCTGTTCTAATGCAGAAATCAGCTTCCCCACTTAAGACACACACCCCAATTTTGGAGGACTAAGTTTTGGGGAAAAGGGGTGTGCGGTATGCAAATTTATGTGGCATATTACCATAAATGTTGTTAAAAGTATACTATAAAATAATGATATGTAACATAGCCTTATTACTGATTGTGAGGAAAGTAAGATACTTACCAGCCTTGACTGCATAAAATCATTTAACAGTTTACAGTTTTTAAATGCATTAATCTCACTCATTTCCTCTCTATCCTCCATAGCAGTAAATAACTAAGGGTGCTTATACATGTGCTGGGGAGGAGGCGGGACAGGAAAGGTGTTTTAATTAGAGTGGTTCCCAGACAGCCACTCTAATTTAAATGCCTCACTGTCACATGTATTAAGTCCCTGAGAGTTTAAAAATGGCCATGAGATGCTTTCAATAAGATTTAAATAAAGCACCCCAGCAGCCATTTTTAAACTCACCGGGGCTTAATTCACGTGATGGTGAGGCCACACTGTAGCATTCTAATTAGAACACAGATCTGGCATATTCTAATTATAACGTGAACCAGAACATGTGTAGGCAGCCCAAGACTCAAGGGATGTCAATATACGTGCTTGGGGGTAGAGGGTAGGCATTTTTAATTAGAGTGGTTCCCAGACAGCTGCTTTAACTAAAACACCACAGCGACACGTGTATTAAGGCCCTGTACATTTAAAAATGTCCACGGGATGCTTTAACTAAGGGTAATTCAATGAGCATTAGTTAAAGCACACCAGCAGCCATTTTTAAACCTACAGGGATTTATACAAGTGATACTGCAGCGATGCTAGGGTGTTCTAATTAGAACACATCAGACCATGTATATAGGCACCCAAGGTAACCAAGACATCCATATTTACAGCAGAGGGATATAGAAAAGTATACAATAACCCTCTAAAAGCTCCTTTAATGTAACATTTAAAGTTAAAATTGACAGCAGTCAAATGCAAAGCAAAAATGCAAAATCAAAGGTCCTCAAGCAATATTAACCTAAGCACATTTATGTTTTTTTTCCAATATTAGATATTGAATATAAGATTTAATACATTCCTGTGTTCTCTCTATGCTGTTAAATGCATACCGTAAGTGGCTAGGTTGATAACAATACGAACATGTGTCCTAGTTAATCAGTATATATTTGAATATACAGGAAAAAAAAGAAAAATGAGATACTCAGGTTCAAGGTGCTTTTTAACTGAGTGAAAAAACATCTATCCTTATCTTACCAGTAAAGAAAATGATGTATGTCATTGAGAAGCTTAGTAATACTTCAGTTAATCCATCGTTGAAAATATGAGACAGCCAGTATGTGATTATTTTTGAACTCAAAAATCCAAACACGACACTTGCAAAACATTTTAATATTATTTTTATAACAACTTCTTTAGCTGTAACAGAAGGAAATAAAAGTGAATGACTTATTTGTAAACTACATAAATGAATGAGTTATTTAATGATGCATGAAGGTGAAGTGCAGATTGCTACCTTCTTGTCCCTCTATTTTTTTGGAATGCAAAATTTCAAAACACTTGACTCAAACATTAGTAACCAAGAAATGCTCAGTTAAAGTCTTCAAACAAACAAAGAAAAAGGATATTAGTGCCACAATAACTCCCAAGTTTACAAAAACTGGAAAAAGATTAAGAGTTGAGAACAAGCTACTATATTTACTTGCATACCACACACACTTTTTCCCTCAAAAATTAGCCCTCCAAAACTGACGTCCGTATTTTAAGTATAGAAGCTGTTTCTGTGCTGGACTGGAAGCACAGAGCTGCCAGAGGCTGGCTCTTTGCTGGGCTCCAGCTATCTGTAGAAGTGGTGGAGTGTGCTGCTCACTCACTCTCTCCTTGCAAACTCAGGCAAAAGCTGCTGCCACTTTGGCAGTGGCTGTAATGGGGTTTCATAGATTTCAGAGACATTAGGGGCTGGAATAGACCTCGCAAAATTGAGTCCAGCCCCCCTGCCATAGGCAGGAAGTCTGCTGGGGTCAAATGATCCCAGCAAGATAAGTATCCAAATGCCTTTCAAATGAATCCAGAGTTGGTGTTTGCACCACCTCTGGGTGGAGTCTGTTCCAGACTCTGGACACTTGGTCTATAAAGTTTTTCCTTATGTCGTCTAAATCAGCCTTCCAGAAATTTGTGGCCATTAGTTCTTGTTACCCCTTGGGGAGTCCTAGTGAACAACTGTTCTTCTAGCTCCTGGTGTACTCCCCTTATATACTTATAGGCTGCCACCAAGTCCCCTCTGAGCCTTATTTTCTCCAGGTTGAAGAGTAAATATATGGTATGATATGACATACTGTGGTAACTAAAGTCTTCTATGAAGGACCATGTGACTGTCAAGAGTTTTTGTGATAAATTTTCCTTGATACGATAATATAGATTCACACAGGTTCCTAACCTGCATACAGGCCCTGCACCCAACACAGGAAGTATGCAGTCCTACTAGGGGAAATACCTTACTTGACTTGGTGCTGGCCACAGGGGCGGACTTGGTGGGAGATCTGCAGGTACAAGGTAACCTAGGAGACAGTGACCACCTGTTGAGAGGATTCACTATCTGGCAAAAGGCGGGAAAGATAACTAGTAGGGCAGAAGTGCTAGACTTCCGGAAGGCCAACTTCAATGAGCCCAGGAGATTAGTTAATGGGTCTGAGGGGTAATAACATTGGTGAGCTGGGAGTCCAGGAAGGTTGGGAGTTCCTCTAAGGAACCCAGAGAGTGGTGGTGGATAGGTTGGTTTCTACCTGGAGAGATGTGGGCAGCGGTGTCCCCCAAAACTCTGTCCTTGGACCAGAACTATTCAGTATCTTCATCAGTGATTTGGATAAGGGTGTAGAAAGCACTCTGTCCAAATTTGCAGACAACACCAAACTATGGGGTATAGTAACCACACTAGAGGGTAGGGAGGAAATTCAGGTGGATTTGCATAGACTGGGGAAGCGGATGAATCAGAATAGTCAATTTAACAAAGGTAAGTGCAAAGTGCTGCACCACCTAGGGAGAAGGAATCACCAATACCCCTTTAGACTGGGAAGTATCATTCTAAGTAGCACGTTAGTGGAAAGGGATCTGTCATAGTTAACACAAAAATAAACATGAGTTGCTTTTCACCCCCTTGTCCAAATCACTGATGAAGATGTTGAGTACTCTTTCCTGCCGTGGCAGGGGGTCGGACTAGATGATCTTCTCAGGTCCCTTCCGACCCTAGAAACTATGAAACTCAAGAAACAAGCCTCAAAATCATTATACAAAATGTGTAATAATTGTGGCTGGGTCCTATCATGCCACTAATGTGTGGCTAGCTGGGAGCCCAGTCACCTGACAGGGCTCCTAGCTGTGGACACTTGCTACTTGCTGGTGCAGAGGGATTCTGGGATCAGGATCCCAGGCACCACCTGCACTGGCAACAAGGCATGATGGCATCTGATCCTCGATTCTAGTCACTCCTCCTGCCATGCCAGATATGCATGGTAAGATGCATGATTGTGGGATCAAGCATCAGATACCATTATGCCTTTATTTGTATAACTGCCAGAGGCCTAAGTGCAATCCTACCCCATTCAAGACCCTGAAAAGGCATTAATGCAAAGAGTGAATGGACCTTACCTTCCCTTGCTTTTTAAATTTTAGTCTTAATACTGAGATGACAGTTCATCACTAGGGACTTACCAAATTCATGGTGGAAGTGGGCTGCATGGCAAATCCTTTAACCTGGCAGGTTCCCCCAAGCACCCCTCCCCTCCATTGCTAATTGGCTAAGGGGCCCTGGTAGGCCTGCTGTTTGCTGCTGACTGGCCAGGAGGAAAAAAGAGTCTCATATTTCAAACCACAGTTTGCACCTCCCTGCCGATCAGGAGCAAGCGGCAGGTCCCTTCCACCAATTGATGGGGGGCCCGCATAGGGGAGCCTATAAGATTAAAGGAGCCACTGCACAGCCCACTTCCACTGTGAATTTGGTAGGTCCCTATTCATAACTAAAACAAGATGAGTTAACTTTTTTCACGGATTCAGAATAGATTAACGTCCAGCCCTTAATGCTTATATACCAAAGAAATCAAATTAATATCACACAGAATCTCAGGTCATGAGATACAGGGCTCAGAATAGAAAAAATATTAAATAAAATCAGTCTTACCAAAATCAAGATGTTGCCTATTTAGAAAGTCCTGATAAATCTCAAAAGCAATTACTGTGGTGGCATCATTAAATAAAGATTCTCCTTTAATTAGATTAATGATGATTTTTGAAATGCCTTAAAATGATAAAACAGAAAAAAAACAGTAATACATGAAACTCTTCAAATTCTTCAATTTTGGGAATAAAATCAAAGCATGGGTTTATGTGAGAAAATTGAAAGGAGCAGGGTAAATTAATCTGTGAAGTTATATATTGCTACAGCTAGACTGCTTCTGACAGCTAGTTTGTACTGTTAGCTGAGGTATTACTATGCTACACTGCAACATGCAATTTGGCCAACCTCCTGTCTCCAAACGAGATCAATTAGATCCATTCAGATTTGAATCTCTTATTCTCTAGCCTTTTTAGAATGTTTAGTCAAATAACTGTTACACTTGAGCCAATATCTATTATTCCTGCACATTTCACACACAAAATATTTACTAGTCAAACTCCTATTATTATTTATCAAACAACTGCATAAATCTTAAAATAAATATACAAACAAAGCAGCCACTCAAGCATACCTGTGGGATGCTCCTCATGCTTCTAAAGTTTGTGCTTTTAGTTGAAGGTTCCCTCCATGTCCTGAACTGGGAGAGGGACTTCCAGGCCCATGTGGCCTTCTGTCCTGGACAGCCTTACCTTTATAAATAATCCCTTCTGTTTTCACTTGTTATAAAAACCTAAATTACAATTTTTCTAATCATTGAAAATATCTCATGAACGAAATCAGAATGCACTTTTTTTGTCAAAAAGACATTTATGTTATTTAAGCTAGAACAATCTGTTCTCTTCAATCTAAACCTCTATGGATACAAACTGGGCAAATAATGATAAATGTCCAAACATATCCTAGTTCTTTGATTGTCCCAGTTCTGCATTCAAACAGTAGACTTGAATTCACTGTTCCCCCTGACCCTTTGATTTTTTCAAGGTAATTTCTCAGCTTAATCATCATTACTGAGTTTCAAGATGCTAAAGTGTTGTGGGTCTTCCCTTTTTGTGGAAAGCTTTGTAATCCATGGCAGTCAAGTTTCTGGTCTTCTCATCCATCCATTTTGCTATTCCATTTTGTGGCTGTCCTTCTCAAACTGTTCAGATGATTTTCCTGCTCCAACAGATTTCATTTCTACCTGCAGTTCATCTCTATTCTTCTTGGAAAGCTTCCTATTGTTTTAATTAGTTTTGTGTGGTGCATACACACATACTAACTTTCTGACAGTTAATCTGACTTAACTTTTTAAAGTAAACTGAACTGCCAGAGCATACACACATATGTGGAGCAGAGTCAACTTAAATATTGCGTAAGACCATACACATCCAAGGTATATTATATGTAGTCGCATTAGTTAAGTCAGTTTAGCTTACAAGGTGACTGCCACCATGTCAAGGAGCTGTACGTGTGTATGCTCCAACGTGGCGTTAACTTAAGCTGACTTAAGACAACTTAGTTAAATTGCCTTATTTTAAGTTGGCTTAGTATGCGTGTATGCACCCATGAAGTCTCCAACTCTGGCTTAAATCTTAATTTAAATCCTTTTGAGTTCTTCAAGCACCTATTGTCTAAATACCAATTCACAATTCCACTCTGTGGGAACTGAATCCCAGTCCTGATTCTAGGGGTACACCCTTTTTTAAATTAAACAGGGCAAAATTTGGTGCCTTTCATTTAAGTTAGAAGAAGAAAGTGATGTTTGGGCAAGTATCTTTTTTGCAATCCTTTTTTATTTACAAATACAAAAAGAACCATTTTCTTGAACTCATACCTGGAATCAGAAAATAATTAAGACTCCTTCTAGGAAGTATCACTCACAGTTTTCCAATAGAAATAGGAAAGCATTATGTCCATAGCACAAGACACTTTGTCTGGAATACTACGTTTAATTCTGATCACTCATATTAAAGAAAGATGAATTCAGACACGAACAGATGCACAGAAGGGCAGGAGAATGGAAAGTCCATCTTACAAGAGCAGTTGGCTTGGTTTGCTTACAAAAATAAAGACTGAGTAGGGATACAATTGCTCTCTATAAAAAGCACCAGTGAGAAAATGGTAAAGAGAAAAATGAGCTATTTAAGCTCAAGGACAATATTTGCACACAAAAAAACAGGGTTTGAACTGCTGTGAATAAATTTAGTCTGGAAATTTAAAAAGTTAACCTTCAGAGTAATGAAGCGCTGGAACCAAGTAGTGAGAGCAAGACAACTGTTTTGATGGTGGAGCTTAATAAATGTATAAGCAGAATTATATGATATGGTGGTATGAGTGATCAAGGGTTGGACTCATTAATCCAAGAGACCCCTTCCAGACTTCCAAGCCTACTTCAGCCATCGCTCAGTCCCAAATGTGCTCTTCCCTACCTTGCTCCTGCCCCTCTCCCTTTCCCTCCAGGCTTTTCTTAGAGCCATGTTCTCCCAAGTGCATGTTCAAACTGTATTTTCAGCCTTTCATTCCACTTTCTGTTTCTTTTTGCTTCTCTCACTCACACTGCTCCACTAGTAAGCAATACCCACTGAAACTCTTCCACCCACACATGCCTTTGGTTTGGGTAGTAGCACATGCCCATGTTTTCCATGGAGGCTGTTACTGTTTCAGTCCTGGTTCCACTCTGTCTAGTCTCTGAGGACAGATTGATTTAATTAAATGATTTGTAGGTAGACAATACACCTCAAGGAACTCGAGTTCTTGAAAAGTAATTGTCTGCTGTAGTGGGGCTCTCTCTAGGCATGGCCATGAAACATCTGAAGTCCCCATAGCCCTTATCCTCTCCACTTTAGTTTGGCAGTCACCCCTTCACTCACACACCCTGCCTTGATGTATCTGTCTTTAAATAAAGAAAGCTGCCCCCAAAGCTTTCCAAACCTGATCTCATTCTACTGACCACCAGGTGTCTGCAGTCATTGCCTTAAGGGGTAATGCATGGTTCGGTCTGCCCTACACAATACCCCAAGCCTCACAGATACTGTCACTCCTGATGTTCCTTTCTTCCTCAGTCCCTACCTGGACTCTCACACCTCCTGGTCCCACACTCAGCCCCTCTTGGCTCTCCCACCCTCTGGGTTACTTGGAACCCCTGGCCCCTCACTCAGCCCCTCTCTGGGTGCTCAGACCCTTTGGGTTACACCTGCAGCCCCTCTCTGGACTCATGGACCCTCTGGTCCCCCTCTCAGTTTCTCTCTATGCTCATTGACCTTTCTGGCCCCACTCTCAGCCTGTCTGGGCTTGTGGACCCTCTAGTGCTGGTCGCTGGCCCTGTCTGGGGTCATGGATCCTCTTGCTCCTTAGGAACCTCCAACACCTCCCGCCTGCTGCAGGCTGCATTCTCTGCACTGGCTTTCAGAAGCTGTAACCATCCTGCCCAGACAATGTTTCCTCAGCAGCCTCTAGGGTCCTGCAACCTGCTCAGCTCACGGCCTGGGCTTATACACCTCAAGCCCAGCCCTCTCTTAGTCACGGGACTCTCTCATTAGCCCCCACACCACCTGCAGGTTGCTCAAGCAACCTCAGTTCTTAAAGGGACAGCCACACTAAGCATCCTGTCACATACACCTACACATTTTCACATGACGGTGACTCCACGTGACTCCCATAGGGCCCACAAATACCTTAGGATGTGTCTCTCAGATTGTCCTAGGCCAGTGTTTTTCAAAGTATATTGTGGAATGCTAGGGTTCAAAGAGAATGGAGCTCTCAAAAAGAATAGCAAGGTACTCTCCTGTCTGACAAAGAAGCCAGCTAAAATTTAAGGTACGCTAACAGCATTACCTTATAGGATAAAAGGTATGCAGAGAATCCACCGTGAAAGCTTGGATCTCACCTACTTTCTTTGCCAAGGTGATTATCAAGTTGGAAAACATTTGTACGTCATACAAACCTCCTAAAAATAAAAAGGTCAAAATTTTGTTTCCTTCTTAAAGCAGTCTTGAAATTTTGTCCCTTTTCCCAAAAAGGTACCATTCTTATGGAAGGAGGTCATTTTTCTAAGAAACCAATAGCTACAAGACTTCTCTGTTGCTGTGGCCTGTTCAGCCCTACAAACTTAATTCCCCTGACTAAAAATTATTAGGACCACTTCCAAAGAGTAAAATATAGATAACAGGATTATGGAAGCAAAACTTCAGGATACACATAAGGCTCTCCTTTGTTTCTGATATGTCTGGTAACATCACAAGATTAATTTCTCACTCTCTTTTCTGCTCCACAGTGTCCAGAAAAAAAATGTGATTGTAGTCCTAGGATGTGAATGTCATCACTAGAAACTATCCAATGCAGAATTTTTGAAAATTGTTTGGAGAAACTTGAGGTACCACTGTGGGCAAAGTTTCCAATGCTAGTATTGGAATGCTAGTATGCTCCCTTGTGCCCAAAGGGATAAGGAAAAAACATTTTTAGCTTTAAACCCGAGGGCAAATGGCTTTATGAAACTTCAAAAACTCTTTTATCCATTTCACTCTTTCAGAAGTACTGGATACTTACTGCTATTGTTCATTTGATAAGCAGTAAAGGTGACCAAGTCAAATCACATTTCCCACTGAGAACAAGTTGAAATGCTTTCCTCAAATGTCACCCTAAAGAACAGCTTTTGGAACTCCACTTAGAATCTTTTTCTCCTAGCAGTATCCACTATTCATCCCCTGGAGAGAGTCTAAGATTCATACTCAAGAGTATTCTTTTATCCTCAGAAGGAATGCAGAGCTTTTATTTCATTCTAAATTTCCTTTTATTGAATCCTGCCTTACTCAGTGCTCTGAAGTCAGCACTATCATACTAGGAATTAATCTAATATGTTCATATCTGTACATGAAGTAGTCTTCTCAACATTTCTTTGTATGTATTTTCTTTTCTCACCATTCCATAACACTCTGCTTTTCAATACAGTTATTTCTAGCTTTCAAATAAATTTTTCTCTTAGGAAAATGTTATCGTTCCATAAGCAAAACACATATACATACAGTTACGTATTTCTTTATTTACACACGCACATGTGCATACACACACACGTGTGTGTGCGTGCGTGCATATGCGTAGGCTTGGTAGGATTCAATTTTTTATCAATAAATTGTTGATTTTACCTCACACTCATAGACCAACAGAAATATATTTCTATTGGTAATACAAATTTATAGAAAGGGGGGGGTCTGTAACGGGAAACCCTCACTCCTGTTACTGGAAGTGGAGAGAGATGGAGGAACAGAGGATGGAAGCTTAAAGAGAAAAACAAGAGGTAGCCTAATGACTTGTTAAATAAGCAATTAGCCTCTTGTTCTTAGGTGCAAGAAGCAAGCTAAAGGGAGATAACAGGCTATTTAAACAAACCTCTTCCCAAAGCT